ATGGATTTCAACGTTAGTGTAATAAAACTAGTTTTGTAGCATCCACTGTGAATTTATTGTTTAATTCAAACTTAACTCAGCCAATTTTAACACTAACCCAAAATATAGACACCACATCAAATCATCAATGAGAAAAGCACAGCATTTATTCGAGGGAGGCGTTTATTTAAGTAAAATGGGAAAATTGGGAAGTGTCCCGGTTTTGAGGACTCGGAGGTTGGAATGTCTGTATACTTTACCAAAACTATAACGATTACAATAGTCATGAAATAGGATGAAAAATACAACATACTATAATTTTATATTTTAAAATATAGGCACAGTATGCTGGTTGTGTGGTGAACGGGGGCACGCTAGGATCAAGTGCCCCCAAAAGCACAGTGTCAGAGAGGGATGAAAAGGCAGAGCAGTTGTTTTTAACAATTGCAGATTTGATAAATTAGCAATGTAATTTACTGTTACTCTATTGAAGCTGCATTATGTATTTAAATTGCGATATTAGGGCTGTTTATATGGAAAAAGCTAGCCCAGCTATCTCACCAGGATAATTACTTTCTTCCCTGTCTTGCCTTCAAGACTTTCTCGAAAAAGTTGATAAAAATATGCAGTTCAGACTAAGTGTGAACTGGTCTTTCAGTTAATCAAAATTTTCCTTTGTGGCAAAGAACATATTTTCTTGACATATATTAGGACGGATAGCCCCCTTCATACAAACAGTCCCCTTTGTTTGTGTTGTTATTACATTTAATACATTATACACGAAGCTACAGTATCATGATTATACCCATGGTCTATATAATCGCTCTAGAAGTATACTTTATTCGTTCATTATAAAGTAAAAAGTATAAATGTCTAAAAAGTACAGTACCTTGTGGGGCTTGTCATCACAACCCTATATACCAATAATAGCTATACATATGTGAAATTCGACCCTCTTTTTCTTTACAATAAAGAGTTTGTGATACAAGTTCAAGTCAGTATAATAATGTCATATGGCAATTTTCAAATGGCTATGTAACTAACCCAAACCCTACTCCAACCCCTAATCGCAACTCTAACCCTAACTGAATTAATAAAAAAAGTCCAAAAAGAAACGACTTTAGAAAATCGATAGCGCAGTTTGCTGGATGGAAAATAGTGCATAACCCTGTTTGTTGCAAATACTGTTACTTGCAAGTAAGGGTGAACAGTTGAATAACTAACAGTTGAATAACTGACCCCAATTGTCTATATGACCCCAATTGTCACATATATACATAACTTATTTTGTTTCTATTTTTCTAACTTAGAAACTCGAGCAAGGAGAAGAGGTAATGGTATATTTTGTTAAATGACTAAAAACATCTGTATATATAAAAAAATAACTAAAAATATCTGGAATTATGGTACAGGTCTAGTATGAAAATGTAATCTATCAACATTTTAGTGACTGCACTTCCAGTATGTACTGTAACCTAAATGAATATTCTTGAAAGCCGATTCTATTTTCTTTAAATTCGCAACGTTGCTGTAAGTGTGGCATTCATGGTCACTATGCTGTGGCATGCCGGTCACATATATACTTTACCAAAACTATTACGATTACAATAGTCATGAAATAGGATGAAAAATACTACATACTATCATTTTATATTTTAAAATATAGGCATAGTATGCTGGTTGTGTGGTGAACGGGGGCACACTAGGATCAAGTGCCATCAAAAGCACAGTGTCAGAGAGGGATGAAAAGGCAGAGCAGTTGTTTTTAACAATTGCAGATTTGATAAATTAGCAATGTAATTTACTGTTACTCTATTGAATCTACATTATGTATTTAAATTGTGATATTAGGGCTGTTTATGTGGAAAAAGCTAGCCCACCATCTCACCAGGTTGATTACTTTCTTCCCTGTCTTGCCTTCAACACTTTCTGAAAAAAGTTGATAAAAATATTCGGTTCAGACTAAGTGTGAACTGGTCTTTCAGTTAATCAAAATTTTCCTTTGTGGCAAAGAACATATTTTCTTGTACCTTATACATGAAGCTACAGTATCATGATTATACCCATGTTCTATATAATCATTCTATAAATATACTTTATTCGTTCATTATAAAATAAAAAGTATAAATGTGTAAAAAGTACAGTACCTTGTGGCTTGTCTTCACAACCCTATATACCAATAATAGCTATACATGTATGAAATTCGACCCTCTGTTTCTTGACAATAAAGAGTTTGTGATACAAGTTCAAGTCAGTACAATAATGTTATAAGGCAATTTTATGCTGTCTTAACTGCCATAACCGCTTAGTGCTATTTTCCATCCAGCATACTGACCTGGCATCATTTTCGGAAGATGGAAGAGGTGTCAAATGGCTATGTAACTAACCCAAACCCTACTCCAACCCCTAATCACAACTCTAACCCTAACTGAATTAATAAAAAAGTCCAAAAAGAAACGACTTTAGAAAATCGATAGCGCAGTTTGCTGGATGGAAAATAGTGCAGAACCCCGTTTGTTGCAAATACTGTTACTTGCAAGTAAGGGTGAACAGTTGAATAACTAACAGTTGAATAACTGACCCCAATTGTCTATATGACCCCAATTGTCACATATATACATAACTTATTTTGTTTCTATTTTTCTAACTTAGAAACTCGAGCAAAGGAGAAGAGGTAATGGTATATTTTGTTAAATGACTAAAAACATCTGTATATATAAAAAAATAACTAAAAATATCTGGAATTATGGTACAGGTCTAGTATGAAAATGTAATCTATCAACATTTTAGTGACTGCACTTCCAGTATGTACTGTAACCTAAATGAATATTCTTGAAAGCCGATTGTATTTTCTTTAAATTCACAACGTTGCTGTAAGTGTGGCGTTCATGGTCACTATGCTGTGGCATGCCGGTCACATATATACTTTACCAAAACTATTACGATTACAATAGTCATGAAATAGGATGAAAAATACTACATACTATCATTTTATATTTTAAAATATAGGCATAGTATGCTGGTTGTGTGGTGAACGGGGGCACATTGGATCAAGTGCCCTGAAAAGCACAGTGTCAGAGAGGGATGAAAAGGCAGAGCAGTTGTTTTTAACAATTGCAGATTTGATAAATTAGCAATGTAATTTACTGTTACTCTATTGAATCTACATTAATTATGTATTTAAATTGTGATATTAGGGCTGTTTATGTGGAAAAAGCTAGCCCACCATCTCACCAGGTTGATTACTTTCTTCCCTGTCTTGCCTTCAACACTTTCTGAAAAAAGTTGATAAAAATATTCGGTTCAGACTAAGTGTGAACTGGTCTTTCAGTTAATCAAAATTTTCCTTTGTGGCAAAGAACATATTTTCTTGTACCTTATACATGAAGCTACAGTATCATGATTATACCCATGTTCTATATAATCATTCTATAAATATACTTTATTCGTTCATTATAAAATAAAAAGTATAAATGTGTAAAAAGTACAGTACCTTGTGGCTTGTCTTCACAACCCTATATACCAATAATAGCTATACATGTATGAAATTCGACCCTCTGTTTCTTGACAATAAAGAGTTTGTGATACAAGTTCAAGTCAGTACAATAATGTTATAAGGCAATTTTATGCTGTCTTAACTGCCATAACCGCTTAGTGCTATTTTCCATCCAGCATACTGACCTGGCATCATTTTCGGAAGATGGAAGAGGTGTCAAATGGCTATGTAACTAACCCAAACCCTACTCCAACCCCTAATCGCAACTCTAACCCTAACTGAATTAATAAAAAAGTCCAAAAAGAAACGACTTTAGAAAATCGATAGCGCAGTTTGCTGGATGGAAAATAGTGCAGAACCCCGTTTATTGCAAATACTGTTGCTTGCAACTAAGGGTGAACAGTTGAATAACTGTGCCCAATTGTCTATATGACCCCAATTGTCCCAAGTATATACATAACTTCTTGTATATACTTGGGACAATTGGGGTCATGTAGACAATTGGGCACAGTTATTCAACTGTTCACCCTTAGTTGCAAGCAACAACTTCTAACTTCTTTTGTTTCTATTTTTCTAACTTAGAAACTCAAGCAAGGAGAAGAGGTGGTAATGGTATATTTTGTTAAACAACTAAAAATATCTCTATATATAAAAAAAATAACTAAAAATATCTGGGATTATGGTACACATTTAGTATGAAAATGTAACCTATCAACATTTTAGTGAGTGCACTTCCAGTATGTACTGTAATAACTTAAATGAATATTCTTGAAAACTGATTGTATTTTCTTTAAACTTGGGATGTTGCTGTAAGTGTGGCCTTCGTGGCCACTATGCACTGGCAGGCACCGGTCACATATATACTTTACCAAAACTATTACTATTATAATAGTCATGAAATAGGATGAAAAATACCACATACTATCATTTTATATTTGCAAATATAGGCATAGTATGCAGGTTGTGTGGTGAACGGGGGCACGCTAGGATCAAGTGCCCCAAAAAGGCACAGTGTCAGAGAGGGATGAAAAGGCAAAGAAGTTGTTTTTAACAATTGCAGATTTGATAAATTAGCAATTAATGACCCAAGTTGACAACACAATATTAAACACAAATCTTTATTTTGTGGGAGAGGGGTTCGGGGTTGTGAAGAGTCCATTTACAGTATATGACAAGCATCATGACTATTCATATGTCACACCCTATTAGCTGCACTGATTCTGAACTGGCACTGATAATCTGACCAAGATTCACTTGGACAGTCCTAACCTGACCAACTAGAGCACAAGACCCCA